TACCAGTGTTTTCAATCTTATTTTGCCTTATCGTTTGCTCAGGGAGCCCAATTAAATTTGGTGAAACCATATTTTTGATGTTGTCAGCAGCCTTTTCAGGTCTATCTTGGTCTGCAAAATTGAACTTCAATGATGATTGCAATCTATCAAGCACATTTGCGTGAGGCTGAAAACTTTTTTCGGTTTCTGTGTTCTTCTCAGCCGAGGATTCCTCTTTGGTAGACTGCTGTGTGATTCTCGTTGCCTGCGGCCGACTTTTTTCGTTTTCTGTTATACGAATGAGGTCCTTTGCTTTGGAGATTGGTTCCACTGAAATCCGAAGATTGTTAGGCCTGACTGAAATTGACTTTTCACCACTTTTCAGTTGGTCAGCTCGAATCGCTACGCTTTTGTGATCTGCTCTACTTTCTGTTTTCATGGATCCGTTGATTTCTTTGCTTGGGCGCTCTCTGTCTTTGTTCCATAAAGATATCTTTGGACGTGTTGCGAAGTAGTCTTCCTTGACTGCCTGTCTAATCCGCGATTTTTGATGTTTGTCATTGGTTTCATGCTGCTCAGTTGCAATCCCAAGACCATTTTCTTTCCGAAGTGTTCTGGGACGTCTTTGAAGATCTTGATGCGTCTGTTGATATACCTTTTCTTCATCCTGCACCTGTGACAAGTTTTTTATTCCTTTCTCTTCCTCACTTTTAGGGATATGAGGAGCTTTACTCATGATATCACCAATTAATTCTTTGTTTTTAGTCAGACTATCCCTCAATATAGGATCAATAGAAATTAGTTGATTCCGTTGACCAGTCACAGCTTTGATCGGATCTTGAGCTGATGTCCGAACATTTTCTTGGTGAGATGACAACAAATTGTAATTTTGGCTCTGAAGAGTGTTCGGTGGTTTGTAACCTTTTGCAGGAACAGTAAACAAAGACTTGCTCGTTTGCGATGCGCCTCGAACATGACTGTCGAAATCTTGCAAGTTTTCAGAATGTTTAGAAGGAAACTCGTGATGATAAGGATACCTAAGTCGGTCATCGAAGGGGTCAACAGACATTTCCCTCCTGTTTGGCTCGTAGACTCACTTGTTTCCTGGACTTAAAGAAGTTGATGGATCACCTGCTTTTTTGCTGGCCACCCCTTCCTTCGAGATAATTTTTCCTTTGAGCGTCCGATCTGGCTGAAATTGGAAATATGAGGTATGTCTATTTGAGCCGGCTTCGTTTTGATACTTTATGTTTCGAAGTGTATCAGATAAACTGAAGCCCAATACACCAACATGATCTCCAGGCTCAGAATCAATAGGTCCTTTCTTGGTTCTTTGGAGACTCGCACTCTCAATGACCCTAGAAAGCTCCAAGGACAGCACAGTTCGGGATAATATGCACAGGGTGAGTAACTTCCATGAAAGCATGACTGGTCTTTTGGTTGTAATGCTGCAGATAGAGGATGAACACGAAGATCGCACCACAGTGGGTTCAAGCCGATTAAATAGTTAACAATGTGGCATATCATAATCAACCAACCCGTTGAAACACAAGCTATGAATTGAGAATCGCTTTGAAACCTAAGCCTCCCCAGAAGCGATCTCAGCAGTGTTACAAATTCGACAAGCACAGTTTTGAGTAATGTGTATGCGCTGCATACCACGTTTCCTTGCTATATTTGCAAGCAAAAAGCAAGATGTCTTGATTCATCAAAATTGCTTGAGATCTTGATCAAGGACGTGAGATTCAACTCTTACTCAAAGTAACCGTTGCAACGTCGCGACGAAATACCAGTTTCAAACCTGGTTGAAACAGTTGATAACGAACAACCTTGTCACTTCATGGCCACTTTGATGTATACCGAAAGGAGTTCCGCGGTCGACGGCAGATCATAACTCAAACATTCATTTCTCCAAGTCTTCGTCGACAATTGTGTTTTGCAAGCAAACACAATGTCAAGGCGCACCGAAGAATTCATCTAATCATGCCATACAAATCATATACCAAACTTAACAAAGTCCCTCACTCGGAGAGAAAATGAGCAACTTCATATGATTACGCTGTGTGGTGTGGTTGCTTGCACCTTAATTGCGCAGCTTGCCTTATAACCTACAAAATCAGGAAGACGATAAAACAGTTTTCAAAACTTCGCTTTTTCCCAAGAAAACTAATGAAACCTCCACATGTCAAAATCAAAACTTCCAGCCAGGCGGAAAACACTTCTCCTCAGCTTGCCTCATCGTCGACTGCGCTCTCACCACTCAGCGCGTTATTGACAATAGAGTGAGTGAAAAAATATTAATCGCATTTCTCAGACACTTGGCAATTTCTCCACATCTCTCTAACGAGATGATGATATTGTTCGGATAAACCAAATAGAAGTTAGTCATTTTACTCCAGTTTAGATGCAGTCTCTTATACCTCGATCTTATGGATATTGGTATCCTGCCTGGCTTTCATAAAGGAAGGGTTGCATACCCGCATCGTATTGGTAATCGCACAATCTCTTAAGCCTGAGATATAGTCTTGAACAATCTTAAGTTAACTTCAGTCTTGCACAAAGCGCTTATCTTGTCAGCTAGGATAGACGAAGGGGGATTCCAGAAACTGAAGACCGGGAGGGAGTGCGCAAAACATGCATAATGAATCCAAACTATGTACCTCTGCGGTTGCGGTAATGCACGGGGTTCAACCTGGTTCTTGACAGAGCTGCAGTTTAGTACTCACTCGTGTATTTGGAAATAGTATTTTCCCAATGAATTCAATAAATAGCTACAGCCTACCGCAAAGACGGATATATAGATTTGGGTTTGATACTTCATGGCTAGCAATTCCAAGAAGAGAAAGAATTGTCCGTAGCTTCGAAAAAAATTACTCCTAGCTAGCCTCACAAGGTGCAAGGTCAGTCGGACAGGTGAGACATGAGATGGGATAAGCAAATCGGATTGAGTGGGATGTTTTGGAGTTTATCTCGATCGGAGATTGAGGTGATGGTCAGTCTCGGATTCTTAAAGTGTTGATGTCTTGATCTCTTGAAGCATTCAATAATTTTAATCTAATGTTAAGTTTCAAGTAAATATCACTTTTTAGAAGAAGAATTGCGCAAACCACATTGTATTGAAGTATTGTATATATTGCCCAATAACCTTTCCCTTTCAGGGTCGATCCTGCGAGTCTGCTTTGATATAGAAAATTCATTCTTGCACGAACACAATTTAAATGATCTTGCCAGGAAAGATAGACAGCGGGTTTCGAAAAAGCTCGTAGTAACAACTTTCGGGGACCGGTAGGTAGCGCGCTATGCATGCGTCACGACAGTCAGGAATTTGCACCTTCGTGGCTGCGTGGATGCACGGAGTTCAAATTGGTTCTTGACGAGCTGGATATCAGTACTGGCTCATTCATTTGGAAATACCATTGCCCTACTGAATCCAAAAAGGATACCCCAAACGAGGAATATGAGGTATCAATTTCATACCTATGGGTGTCATTTCTCAAGAAGAACATACATTTCCTAAACTCAATGAAATGCCCCCGACATTATGCGCCGATTCTGTTAAGCACATAATTAATCGGACAGGTGCCCAGTTGCTGGAGTGACACGATGATGTTGTACGAGATTAAAATGGCGTGCAATCTAGTGGGTAATTTCTTTCAATTAATTCTTGGATACATATTTGTTAATTTCTATTTGGGCTTTTTGGAGAAATTGATTTTTGGGGAGCTTAAATTGTTTTTCAATCAGAACAATCTTTCAAAAGATAGTTGAACTTGCACCTCGTACCAGCTGATGGAGGCGTGTATGATTTCTTTCTACAGACACCGCAATCTTGTAGGTTCTAGATTAGAGGCGCAACGGAATTGTTTTGCGATGGCGACGGGATCGTACGACTTTAATTTATGGTAGTTTGTTTGAAGTAATTCCTTTATCATGTATCATCATTAACAATATGTCCCCTTTGAAGTAAATACAGAGGCGTGCAATGCTATGTAGAAACGCAACATGAAGAAACTTTTACAGACTGAAACGTGGAAAGAGACACGGAAGAAGATAACACCATGGTGTCAGCTGACACGTTCAAATATTGCAATATAAAATTTCTAGTCCGTTTGGGTTATTTGAATTCAATCGGCATACTAGTCACCACTATATACCTGAAAGTATCTCATTGGAAAAATTGAGAGCTTTTGATACGGGCTCGTTCGTAGCTTGGGCATCGAAAATTGGAGGGCCAGCAGCGTTTGCTGCTTGAAGGATCACTTCAAAGGGAGGAAGGAGTATGCTACATTGATCTTATTGTGCGTGAATTGGTGAATGGACATCATGACATACTGAATGAGTCCTTGTGGTGGATAATCGAAACATCTTGTCGGCGCGCTCCATTGAGTTTGCGGTAAGGTAGAATATGTCGATATTTCCGACGACAACGCAAGAGATCTGCTCATGCTGCAGTTGTGATATACACATTCAAGTGGCTACGATCTCAAATGACGTCGTAACATCCTTGCTTGTATCATCAAAGCAGTCAGATCTTTTGAGGTAAAACATCACAGGTTTCTGACCAGCTCCTCTCTCCTGATATGACAGACACCCGTTACTTGCTTCAGCGCTTCTTTCGAGGCAGCGGTGGGATACAAGCAGACTCCCAACTATCCATTTAAGGTTACACCAGACGGCGTGAAGTTTCCTCGTGGAAGGACCCTTTGGGTTCCATAGAGTTCTTTAGATATTTCCTTCCCCACTGTTCGAGAGATTGCAGCAGACTCCGATTCTCTGGAATTGATTTCAGGGGTCCGAAACCTAGTGCCACTTCCCCATTGGGCGATTTGAACAATATATAGCGGATGTTTGTTTGTTCTAGTCGAGTGCCGGTCTTCTTAGAATATTTTAGACCCTGAATCTTCCACGAGATGGGCGAGCAGCATGTATCATGGCTTCACCGATGTACATTCCATTTGGAATGTTTCGTGATTTCCGAATCGCATCTCCAGGTCATAAACCAGATATGAATTTGGCATGTGATGGCCCGGAGCACCCGCCCTAGCGAAGCGAACTTTTCAGCACTCAATTTGATAGATCCCTTTCCTTCGCCCGCTACCAAGTCTCTCCTGACCGTCCTCATCTTGATGGTCGCAATTTCCATTAGTGGCCGCACGTCAGATGCTCCGCTGCCGTCGCTCATGGCTGTCATTCATAACGCAAGCTCTTCAGACCAGTCCCGTACCTCCATCGCCAATGGCTTGGTCGACTTGCCACCTTTGTCACCTCATCTGGTGGAAAAAGCGACGTTGATCGCCAAAGGTTCGTGACAATACCCTTAAGTCGAGTGTTCAATAAGCTGATATCAGCCGCGTAAACTTTAGCGAAGAGGTCTGAAGTGTGAATCAAGACATTCTTTTCCCGTTGATGATGTAGCCAAACCTCGCTTACTGACTTTGAGTCGACGAGTGAAGGAAATATGTGTTTGAAATAATTCAGCACCCTGTACGAGGATCTGCATTTGATCCTGCAATGGACTTCATGTGGGATGGCGCTCCTCCGGTGGTACCCGCGACCCTTGCAGAGCTACAGCTACGGGATGAGGAAGGGCGATCGTTGTAAGCATGATGCAATCTGTCCCCCATAAATATGCGTACTGATGCCATCAAGACGTCAAGTGATATTAATGATTCAGATTTGACATGCACGCTGGAACTGATGAGGGTCGAAGGAGATGAGGTCACAGAGATTGATTTCCACGAGCGCCAAATGAACCAGATTATGATCCGCCCGGTCCACGTTGATGTCCATGGAAGCGGGACTCTTGCAACCGTCTTTGCCTTTGATCAAGTCCAGGTTCCGGAAATAGGGCACTATCGATTTCGCCTGCTCTTGCGCTGCCGCTTGCCAAATGAATTTACCTGCATTGGCACTGATCCCAATGAGGATGATATCATATCGCTGCAGGCTGTATCAAACTTGTTTGAAGTTGTACCGAATGAACGCTTCGAAGCCAGAGACGATGGTGAGTCGAGTGTCATTTGATATGATGATTGGACGTGCGGCTCATCACATCATTGTTTGCTTCTGATAAATCGGCAAGTCATGACGCCTATGAGTCGCCGAATGGACAGAGCAGTGGATGGTTTCTATGTACCTCCAGCTTATAGAATGTCGGCGGAGGCGCTCACCGGCAACAGCAATGACGAGTTGACGAACGGATGACCCAGTTTCGATGTACAAACGCTTGGCTTCAGAGTGAATCTAACGACGTCCCACGTACCGGGATGCGTACCAACATCTCCTAAAGAGCATCACAGCACAGGATGGTGGATTTTTAGTCGGGAGGTGAAGTGGCAAAGTTGGGAAACTACATGAGGGGTAAAAGTCGACGCTCGCACGCTCAAAAACGACAATCACACCAGCCCCTCCTCGAGGACCGGAACGCGGCCGCACGGTGGGGCTTACAGAGTTAGTTAACTCCAACGAGTTTTGAAGGGTGGTCGATTCGATTTTTTTACTTGATCTTCGCGCAAAATCTCAGCCTTTTTATTTCAGCCTTTCGTAAATTTGGACATACAATATGTATTTTATTTGCTTTTCTCCTGTTACCTATATATATCATCAACGCGTTCATCTTGCAAGGGCCTTTAGTTACATTCATTTCAAATTTTCCCTTTCCTTTGTTATATTCCATTTCTTTCAAGTTTGCATTTAATGCTATGGATCTTTCTCTACCTCCTGGTGTAAATGTCAGAAGTAGTCCAGGTCGAGTCCAAAATCCCCAAATTGCACGCAACCAAGCTCGGTAGGAATTGAGTATCCACTTATGGCGCATAGAAGGATGTCTGGTACAAGTTCTGCATCAATCAGCATAACCCAAATCTCAAATTGTTCCAAATCCACTGTTCAAAAGGTCTGATGTAGCACCCCAGGGCTGTCCAGTCTAGATGATCACATATATCTTGGATCCCATGGAGGCATCTACTTTCAGGCTTCATTCCTGTGCAAAGGGTGTGAAGCTTGAACAAGTCTTGAGGATTGACAAATGGTCCTCTCTTCCAAGCCTTGACGCACTGTCTCTCTGTCTACCTTGTTCAGCGTCTGGAGGATAGTTGTTATTTTATCAATGTATATTGGAATCTTTCTTGATACTGACACCATTCATATTAACATAAATAGAGAAAAAGTTAAACCTGGTTGAGCACTTCAAAGACATCACGAAGAATGGTTCAGAAAACATATACTTTTCAAGAAACTTTGCCTCAAAATTCTTCACCGAAGAAGGTGAATCCATGTACCCACCCAACTATGTTTCAAACTCTTTCCAGTGCCATATGGAGCTTTGTACACATTTTGTTATTGATCACTGGTTTGTGGTTTATGTAGACTTTTACCACCAATGTCCATACAAGACTCTTCTTTAACAAGATAAGTATTTCAATTCTTTAAAATTGGTATTCACAAGGTTTCATGTACAGTCAACTCACAAAAGCTTGACCAATTTTGCCCGCCAAACTCGAGCAAATTGGCGGGAAATTTGTGACGAGCTTTGGTGATTTGACTGTAGTTTGTTTTCTCAAATTTTCTGGCATAATTGTCCAAAAAATTTATACTGTCATGGTTTCTATGGCAGATCATCACAGGTAGGAAGTAGTCATATATTTTGTTGGTATGACAGAAACAGACAAGAAATAGGGCTCTACCAGTCCAACAAGAACATGGCTTCGGGTTTTCATACCAGACCATGCGGTCATCAATCCTCAAGATACAAACTCTTGGATTAGATAGTGTACTCAACTGCAAAGTGATCAAACCAGGAAAGATACCTTAGCTGGCTTACACGACACATTGTTACACTCTTGATAAGCTTCCACATGAGCTCACACCTCTTGCAACATCAAATGCAGAGTGAAATGAGGATTACAGAGCTTCTAATAAAAATGTTTCAAGATCAAAGCTTATCATAGATCCTTTTAGAGATACAAATTACACTTCAAAAGATTGATGGATTCAAGAAGAATCAAATCTGCTCATAAAATACAATATTTGCGTTTTTGTATATTCTTTACATTTGAAAACCAGAATCAAGAAATTCCAGATCAAGAGAGAGAGAAAAAACCTTCAATTCTTAAGATTCATTGTTTATACTTTTCTTGCCAATGATATACCTCTCTACTTAGATCATCCATTAATTCTAATGTTTTAGAACTAACAACCGGTCTAGAAATCCCATCAAATTTTCCATCCTCTTCATCTTCAGGACTTCTCCTATTACTATTGCTACTACTACTATTACCATTTCCTATTAAAGCTTTTTGAATTAATTCACTTCTTTTTTCTCTTTCACAAGTCTCAATTTGAACTTTTTGTAAATAATCTACAATATGTTTTGATCTCTTCTTTAAATCTGCAATCGTGACTCTTTTACCAGGAAATTTCACTTTAGTGGGTGCTTCTAAACTTTTTCCTTCTAAACAAATAGGTTCTGGTGTTGAAGTTGGTAATAAATATGATAAGTATCCTAAATGATCCGGTAATCCCCATCCGGTTATTGATTCTGATGGGGTTGGTTCTCTTACTTCGGTTAATTTCGATTTACGTGATTCTTCTCGAGTTCGTTTTGTTGGTGATCCTCGTTTTTGGTACCCGGTTGTTTGATTTGTCGTGGTTTGAGATCCACTTGTGGCTTGATATGATGGATTACTGGTCGATTGTTTGTTCAAGAAAGGATTAGAGGCTTTTGTTTTAACAGTTCCGGCTGGCAGTACCCATTTCACAAGAGAAAGTAAGCCAAGATGCCCAATAATTCATGTGAAATACTAAAGCTAGACCAAAGCATGTTTCAGCAGGAAAAACTTACTTGATTCGTCCGTTTCTTCGTTTTTCCGGGATCGCTTAGTTTTGGCGCTTGTCGGGCCAGTCACCGGTGCTGCAGCACTAGAAGCTTGTTGTCTGCTGAGACCTAATGTCGAAAAGGAAAGAGCAGGAGATACTACTGAACTACTAGGACTGATCCGAGGTCGTTTGGTCTTTTCTTCAGCTTGTGGTTCCATATCTATCTTAATATCTTCTAGTTCTTCAGCTTGACGTTTCCGTTTCGATTTATGTCCTTCTTTGGTCGGTAAATCCCCTGGACTAGTTACAGACTCGCGATCAGCGGCCAAATGCTCTTGTGGTAAACTTGGACTTCGTTCACTTCCACTGGCTCTTTTACCAGTCTTTTCATCGTATGGACTAGCTTTATGTGGCGTTTTATTGATACCAGGAGTAGGGGTGAGATCGACAAGCATATTAGATTGACGCCGGGTTTGAGCGAATATAGGAAGAGCAAATCCTCCAAGTGAAACCTGGTCTTCTGGTTTGACTCCTGCATCAGTCAAGAAAGCTGCCAAGGAAGCTGCATCAGTGTGAACCCTTTCACGACGATTTGTAGCAGTGGCTGGAGCTGAGGTAAGAGATGGTGAACGCTTAGGGCGGGCTGCGTTTGAAGGTGAAGATTTCTGATATTGCCTATTGTGAAAATGTAAGAGTCGGCGTGGTCAGAAAATCAATAAAAGGTCACGGAACAGGATATAAAACGATCACATCCAGTAGGAACTTACCCAGTGATGTGTAAATCAGGTCGACACAGTTCACAAAAGTAATCACCCGGGAATTCAGCATAGAGACCAACACATGGTCCGTGTTGCCAGACTGAACATTTGTCACATTGAAACATGATCACATCATTTGCTTCTTCATCTGTTCAATCAATTAAAGCGTATGTTCAATCATCTGATATGCAATAGAAAGATTAAGAAAACTGAATCATCATCAACTTACCATCCTCACAGCATACACATCGTGTCACCGCTGATCCACTTTGTTCTTGATCCGCATTCTCCTCAATAGGCGCGTCGCCATCGTTATTCGAAACCGGTTTGGCTGACGAAGGGTTTAGATGCTGAAATGTTGGAGAAGAAGGATCCAATTCGGTGGTTTGTAAGACTTGCTCTGCAGCCTTTCGCTCCCGTTTTTCTTTCTTTGAATTCAATGAAGACCTTCTTGCTCCATTCGAATTAGCAGCAGAAGCTTTGGTTGATTTCCTGCCACCTGTTTTGGCTTTCTTCGTGGGTAAGGGTTGAGGGGCTGGGGTAACTACAGTGAGATTGGATGGTGTTTCTTTTGGATTAGAGTGTTCTGAAGTAGCTGAATCATTAGTTGTTGTGCGATTTCTAAGACGACTTGGAGTTAATGGAATCTGATTGGATGAATCTGATGGATGTTGATCTAGACTTGAAGGTCTGATAGGTTTGAGTTGGGTTTCTTGATCAGCCATAGTGTGTTGTTTTTGAATGAGTTTGTGCTGTTGAGATTGAGTGAGGTTAGCTGAGATGTTGTCGATATCTAAAAGAGTAGGTCATCAAGTGAGAGTTGGAAGAAGCTGAAGAAACTCTCTCTTGACCGTTCATGACCACTTGAATGTCAAAATGTCATCTTTCACAGTCACCTGTCACATAAACATTACATATCACTTTACATTACAAACTTGACCTAATTTACATGTATAAACAAAGGCATGAGGCATGCACACTGCACACTGCACACTGCACAGTCACTTTGAAGACTTGTCCATCCACACATCCACACCTCCTGCAGAAAAGTTATGAAGACATCCAAAAAATCTTATTCAAAATTTTCCTCCTGTCTCCGTTTTTGCATGTTAGTTTATATCAGATGGTGACCGGGTCTAGGGTTTTGTATTTCCATGCTTTGATCTTCTGCGCAAGATTAAAATCATATGACAAATTTTTCTGATCTATAAGATTGAATTTGTGGTACTTCACAAATTGAAGGAATATTCTTTAAAATCCTCATTAACCTAAGAGAGTTTCCTTCTGATGATTGGAAGGGAGAATATTCAATAGCATTGTTATCAGATTTTCATGAGCATCCGTCTGCTGCTCAAACAAAACTAATTGAGCTTGAAGATCATTTAGATTTCTGGGAAGATGTCTATCAAACCTTTGTCAAATCAGCTGTTTTCAATCAATATGAATAAATTAGAAGGATGACACTACAGAACACTTATTGCAAAGATCAGATGCCCAGATGGAACCCCAAAGGTAGCCATCAGGTGAAGAGAACAAGATCCAAAGCAAGCCATCAGAAGAAGAGACAAAGTTTCAAAGCCAGCCACCAAATGAAGATATGAGACCTTTCAAGTGGGAAAAGTCATTACATTTAGAGCAACAAATTATTGAAGCATTAAATCAGCATCACATCAGCAATATTCAGCATTAAAAGTACATCAGAATGTTCAATTATTTCATGCATCAAATGTTATCATTGTTTCTGTGGGGAATCATTTTATGCTGGTAGTGTCATGAAAATATGTGATACATACAATGCAACCTGAAGCTCATATGGCTTCGCTGAGACTCTTTGTCCTTTTAAGTTCTTTTAAAGCTAGTACTATAAGCCTGTCAATCTTGTTCTTATCTATGCTGAAGGTGATAAACAAAGATAAGAGGGTGGTCAAGGATTCAGTTGCTCTTAATGGGAAATATGTATTAATAGTACTCTTGGTGGACTGCGGCAACTTTGAGATGATTGAATGCAAATGCTACATGTAGCCAGATCAATAATCTGTTTGCCAAATTTATCAACTCAGACTCCAATCTGAAAGAGGTGAAAGGCCTTGTCACCCCAACACTTGATCATGAAACTTTGACACACAAAGTAGTGCATTGGGAACCTTTCTGATTTGCTCATTCTTGTACTCAGGACTCATTTTCCATCACACTAGCTGACAAAACAAACAGAGTGAGTGGTTCTAATCTGCCTGATCTCTTGAAATCAGTTATCAAGTTACGGTACTCAAAGCTACCTATGTACACATATATAGTTCTCCAAATATAGTTTTTTTGTTCTTTTTGTCAGATCTAACAATCATGTTGGTCCAATCCTATTGCCTCATTTCTCCCTGATCAGGTGTTACTAACTCATCATCTCATCCAGGACTTGCCCTCATTTTGACTGGCCTAGCAGATGACTTTGTATATGGATCAGACCAGAAAGGCTGGCTTGACAGGGACTGAGGGCTATTGCTTATAACTTCCATCAGAGATTGCTCATTATATGCATCATTAGATTGCAGTATATATACTGTACCTATCTCTCATATCTCTTGTCTCCTCACCAATTTCTCTTTTGTATTGCTCAACCATCATCTGCTCATACTCTGTTGTCTCACTTGTGTACTGATCTGATCTGATCTCAGTTCCCTGACACTTTTGGCAGGTAGAAAAGAAAAGAATATTCATAGTTTGGCTGACAAAAAAACTATATAGGGGAATTAGCTTAACACAAGCCCTCTCTGTGTGGCCATGTCCACACACCTTGCAGAGAGGCTTGGGACTAGTCATGAGTTCCTGGCACAGAGACTCCAAGGATCAAGTTGTCTGAGACTGAAGTCATCTTTTGCTTTTTCCTGTCTTCCTCACTGATAAACAACACTTTTCCTTGCAGACCAAGATTTTCAGCATCACTTTGTACACATCTTGTTATGCTCATATCTTAGAAATTCAGGGTAATGCAGCCAGTCAATCAATAACCTTTAAATGAGGTTTAGGTAAATTGTCTGCTGAAGAAACCATCACATCTATTATTGCATCTAGTGCAAGACTTTCAAAACCTGTTAATTATGGATCAATTGCTTTGATACAATCGGACTTTGAATAATGACCTGGTGATGGATTGAATTCCAATGAGCAAAGATTTTTTGGTAAATAAATCAAAATGCTAAGAAACTAATTCGAATTTCAAGGGGCTTGTCTTTAATTGTGGAAGTTTCTTCTCGATTTAGAAAAGTTCAAATGGACTGAAAAAATGATAGAGAGAAAGTAGAAGAAAGCTCTTATCATAAAGTCTGACAGTTGATATCACGAGATCATCTCTAACTGCCTTCCTTGCTCTTTGGAGTGTATGGAAGGCCGTACTTCTGGAACGAATAGAGTCCCCAATTATGCCTAAAATGAAGGTTAATCAGCTCTGAGATCCGCGAGGCCACAATTGAAGAATTTTATGACTGACCTGCGCTCGTAACGTACAGAAGCTCGAGTGAGAGCACTGAAGATGGAAATAAGATGAGCCTATGAGTACTACATATATTGCAGTTCAGGAACCGACTAACCGATTATCTATTGCAATGGAGCTTCGCGATCTCAAGTTTCCTACTTCGGTGTGCGGTATGCTGATCCCCAAAATTCGGCAGAGGATGATTAGTAACTCTGATTGAACGGACAAGGCTTTGAGTAGCCATGCTTACATTGGGAGGGGTGAACTTGAGGTGATAGCTATCAAGAGCGTAATACAAAAATTGAAAATCAGACGAATGCTGAAAATGATTGCAAAATCTGAACTGTTCTTACTCGCTAATCCAACCAAAATGATACAAAAGTTGATGGCCAGATGCATTTTTGAAAGCTCTTGTTTTGTGACTTGAGAATATAAAGATTTCCAGATTTCGAGGGGGGAGTTCGAATCCTCAACAAATATATAGCCTGCAGGGGGGGAATGGCTCGACTACGTTAGACTTTCTTTTACGGTGAGATGTGAATATATAACATGCACGAATCAAAGAAGGCTAAATTGCGGCAATCCAGCTAACTCAACTGACTCCCTGCCCAGTGCCGAAGCTGGGACCAGACATATGCATGAGAATCATATGATGTACATAGTACGTCGTTCTCGAAAAGCTTCTCCAAGTTTTCCCGCCAAATTGCTCGAGTTTTGCGGGAAAACTCGGACAAGCTTTTCGAGAACGACAGTAGTACTTACTCCCAGGAAGGCTCAGGAGGCTCAATATGAAAACTGACAGATTTAAACTGTTTAGCTTGAATTCGTGTGCAATAACTTTAAATGAATCAGTGTGTGATAAGAGTGCAAATCAGAACACAACTTGGGAGACGGACAGGGTCAAAATAAAGAGAGTTCACGTTGATGACTATAAATCTAGATGCTGTATCAAAACATCCCTTGTGCTTGGTATTTGTCGGATGTTCATCTGGCAGGGGAAATTTCGGGAATGGTCGGCATTGAAAACTGGGGGCTGCTCACAGCGGATAGACAGGATTTGGGGGTGCTATGAATCTGATCAATGGGGGTGTGCAAGGATGTGCTCAAAGTTACGAGCTGATAGATAACAACTGATTTGCTCACGATCAACATGATTTTTCAGAAGAGTTATCACGGCCTACTCCGAAGCCATGAAGGTGGTCGCATACATAGGTGAACATGACATGTTTCCTTGATATTTGTTGCATTTCTAAGATCAGGTTACCAAGGCTGTAATCCTACAGTAAGGTATGGGTGTTCGCATAGGCCTAGAGTGGTTTAGATCACAAGTCTGCACTATCAGAACTTCATCAAGCTCAACCTGCGGCTGTGTTCCGCCATCGGTCACTGGTTGAAGGATTCTTGAAATTACATCTAAATTTTGATAAATTTTACTTCTTGAATAATGTGTGAATAAGACTCAAACAGAAGAAAAAAGAAGGTAGAATTATGATACCCACCACTAGAATAGGGTAAATGATATTTCTAAACCTTGGATAAGAAAGATACTTCAGAATCAGACAAACAAAATGTAAAACAAAAGATGGTCCCAATGGATGGCCAACAGGCTCTTACTCCATTTGATAAATTCTGGATGTGCCATGACTTTATGAGGTTCAAATCTTAACATCTGTAATCCTTCCAATGAGATCCCTCTGGATAAAGCCACATAACTTTGTCCTAATAAAACCATCAAAGATCAGAACAAGTACTGCAGAAGTCTGATTTTAGGAAAAAAACAACACAAACCTTTGCCAAACACTTTGCCTAGATCTAATTTTACGTGGCTCAAGGTCTAGCCTTGATTTTTATAGATTGAAATTGCTCAAGTCAAGATCAATGGGAGCTATGTAACAACAAAGTAGATTTGAGAAAGATCAGCCTATCTGTCCACATTTCATTCAATCAAATCATGTGGTTTGATTTGTGTGTATGTCACATGTAATTGTTTGGATTGTACCTCCCCTTTGGCATTCTCAACTTTGAATTCTGCATGCTTGACCCTTATTCTTTCGATACAACCAGTTGGCAACTTTCAAGTAACTTCTGGAAAGCAATTCCAGGTACCAGTTATGGCAGACAAGGCAGCAGATTTGGTCAGTTGCCTTAAGCCTTGTGCTGATTTGCCAGTCAACTATTTGTCACAGGAATCTCCTTCATCTGCCGCTGGAGTAGTGCCACCAAGCTCCTCACCACTCTCCACCTTGCTTACTAATCCATTCACCAGCCAAGCTGGACTGTCCTTGTAAATTTCATTGTTGATCATCATTACCTGAGCACACACCTTCAAAACCAACTTATCAACAGCCATTGTGTTGTTGAGGTCTCTTACACTACAGGGATCTCTAGATAAAGGTGGTATGATTCAAATCAACAGGTTTGAGAGCCATTGATGATCAGAATCAGGAGATCTTTAAAATAGGCTTTAGGAATCAAAGATTGAAGCACTTTGGTAAGAATTTGTGATCAATATTCATAGTGTCTTCTTGAAAGGTTTATTCAAAGATTCATAAGGTCAGAAATAAAATCAAAGCATTATTAAGATTTGTAAAGATCTTTTTGGAGGTTTTTGTCAAAAATGTTGGGTTTTCTTTTTCTTTGTCATTTATCACACTATCATCTTGTTTACCATTATATGTAAGAATTTGACGTAAACAAGCTCAACACTGTGGGAGACAAAGCTTCAAAATAACAACCTTAGTAAAAGGTCAAACACACTATCAGCAGTGTTGAGCTTATAAGACTCATGTTAAGTTAAATCTATAGAATATCAGTTGATTCTCAAACCAAATTAATCATCGATCTCACCCAAAAATCGATACATCATCAAGAATCAATTACTGAAGAAAAAAAATAGTAAATGTATTTTTTTTTGGTTTACATTCAAAAGACATGAATTCATATAAACCTTAGAAAAGAAAACAAAATACAACAAAACCAACAAAAGAAAGAACCCAAAATATGTAAAAAAAAGGGGGAAACAAAAAAAGAAATCATGAAATGATTTTTTGTTGTTGTAAGAAATGGAAATGCTTCTTATGCTTCTTCTTATGTTTTTTTGGGAAAAATCAAATCAAATTAAATTGAAAAAAAAATCAATCAGATCTTTTTTTTACACATAATCAAGTGAATCAGCATCATCCGAAAACAAATCATTATCATCTTCACCATCAAGACCTCCCATATCGAATCCAGAATCATGATGTAAAGCCCAATGATCATGAGGATGATCCATGATATGAGAAGCAAGAACTGGTGCTTCATGACTACCACTAGTAGTAGGTATAGGTGTAGGTGGTTTCTGAAACACATCTCTCAACAAATCTGCCGTTTCTCTTCCTGCTGGACTTAGAGCCGAAATTAAAATCTCTTGTAACGTATCACTTGACATAGCTGCTGTTAAGTTTTCTTGTAAATATTTAGCATAACCACTTCGTAGTTCTGTATACTGAACACACATATCGGTTTTGATTTCATTGAAGATATTCGAAGGTGTTAAAGATTTGATGATCTGTTGCCTGCATAACTTTTGTAATTCAGGCATGATGAGTTCTAAAGAAAATGGCAAGATTTGAAGAGTGTCAGTGTCTGGAGTACATACCAAATAGTTGGAAGAGCCAAAAGAAAGGATCGAAGCAAGGAATTAGAGAGGTTCTATCCTGAACACTTACTATCAGCCAAGATATACATGCTCTTAGGGCTAGTCGGAATTAAATCACATTCTGCCATCGTGATTGAGGTGCTACGATTATCAACAAATGATTTCCAACTCTCAAAGTCTTCCCCTCGTTTTCGAGCAGCGCGCTTTTCATTTACGTATGTCGACCGAAGTGGTGCGAAACGTATGGATCTACAGTATCAAGCGCATAAGTACATCATGGTAATCTGCATAAACAATGATGCAAATTGAACTGACCCGCTAAACATGTATGTCAACAGTGCTCGATATGTTGGATAACTGGAGGATCGAAAGGTAATGAATACGACATCAGTGCTTTTCAAGTACGAATGAGACAAAGAGAGACGAACGGTGTGTCAGTGACTACAATTGTGGCCTTGAAACGCTCAGCGGGCTGAGAAAAGACCGAGAAAGGTAGGGTTAGCCTGATGGGCCATGAACCGAGGATTCAAAAACAACAGATAGAGTTGAAAAAAGACACAAACCATCTCATACTCTTCGAGATCGTGATCTGGATCATCCGCCTCATCGTCCGAGTCGCCATTCCACCAACCATGTGAATCCCCGTCCGTTGATTCGTCTGATTCGATTGTGGGATCAAGAGAGGGATCTAGGTGGACTGGATAATTCAGATTGTGTGAGTATGACCGCATGTCATGATAATGACAATGGTACCAATCTGGACGTACCAAGAGCTGTGGAAGTCAACGGCTCCAATGCCTGTGATGAGGGTGAAGGTGAAGGATGGTCTAGCTTTGCTTTCTTGGGCTTGCTCGGTGAATAATCGCTGCTGTTACAATTAGTTTCTGCAAATTGAGAGTCCAGCACTAAAAAGTGAGATCAATAGGTAAGATGATCAACAAAGAGGTCAGTTTCAAACTGTCAAACGTAAATCTATGTATCTTCCAGCAAGACTTACAGTTTGCAAAATACTTGACAGACCGAAGAACTGTTTCCAGAGCATACAAATACTTCCTACGACCAGACCTCTGAGGAAATACAAATCTGACGGTCTCTAGACAAGGGTCATTAAACAACCGAGAATGAATGCCGAGGAGGGTTCCAAGATTTGAGACCAGATGACGATGTTCACGTCGTTCTTTCAGTAGGCCACTGATATCGGGATCTTGCACGTTGCGAACATAGATAGTCAACACTAAGACATCCTACAAAGAGTGAGATCGCAATCAAGTTTTGTCCTCTGCTGATTGAGTGATGGATTGTAGATTTACCTTAGTCTGCTCGAGGATATCCGTGAATCGTTTGATAGTACCCAAATCAACAATAGTTTTGGATTGAGCTGCACGTCCTTTGGTAAAGACCCGAGATGTATCAAGGAATGCACCAGGTGAGGAAGTTGTTCCGATCTAAAGGTTACAATGTGAGCAAGATGAGTTCATGTTATTGATTCAGCTTGAGCTAGTTTAGGTACAGATGACAATTTGTTCATGTGACCAAGACCTACATTCATTCTCCAGGTTACAGTTGGTTGTGCGTAATGAGCGGGTTGATGTTGTGTGTGAGTTGGATGAGGGGCTACTTCAAGTTTTAAAGTATCGCCTGAGCCAGGGACTTGAACGGTGTATATTGAGACCTATCAATCAGTGGTTAGCAAGAAACTCAAGATGTAAGAGATGATGATCAAGACGAACCACTCCAAGGATATCGTGCCGATTAGGATTGGTGATGTTATGAACCCATCGATAATTCCCTCTTTGAGATTGTTCTTTGATATCTTTTGCCAGACCATCGACAACGTATTCGGCCTGCGTATACACAAACCAAAAGATAAGTTTGTGAGTTTGAATGTCAGGCTATGTAGATTGACCTACGATAGGACCAGATAGTTTAGCTTGTAATTTAGAAGGAGTAATGAGAGCATGAGCTGGTAGACCTGGTAGTCCATGGAGTGGATGATTGTGAGCCATGATGATTAAAGTGAAGTTGAAGATGAGAAGTGTTGGGAATTCAAGCTGATTAGTCAAAGTTTGCAAAAAGAAAAGTCTGGTCAAGGTTTTAACCTCTAAAGATGGTACTTAATATGCTACTTAACAGGGTACAAATCTACTTAAAGTCAACTCATTTCACTAAATTAAACTTCATCAAGCTTCATTAATGCTGAACCAGTGAAAAAAGCTGAAAGACTCCTTTCCAAATCCGACGCAGTCCAATTATGTACCATCCACAACCACAACCGGGTCCGGAGTCACTAGTAAAGCACCAAGATCTCAATGGGATTCAAGAAGCAAATATGACAATCATATCAATGCGATAGGCACATATGAAAATATCATCCTTCCTTGTTTTGCACATTGCGTGAAGATATTTTACAAGGATATTATGTCATTCTAGAACCTAGTATTTTTCGAGGGGCGCCGTCGCAGCCGCGCGAGAGTGGCTTAGTTAAGCTTATATTTCCTCACATGTTTTAAAGATTGCCAGCTTACAAGTCTTGAAGGGGTAGACTGCAGTCTAGCTGAGGCTTGGTATCTAAACCACAAAGACCTGAGGCTTTTTGGCTTCAGTCGGTTTTGTTTTGGATCTCAATCTTGATTTGACTCTGTCTAAGAGCTCCAATTATGCCGCTTGCGCATTATATCTTATGCCGGAAATCTTCCATACCTCATGGTTTGATCTGGGTATTTGTAGATGATTATAATCTTATGTAGAAACAAAAGTGATTTGAAATGAGGTCAGAAGTCTAGATCTTTTGTGCTAAGATAGATTTTTCATACTATCAAGTCTCCTAGCAAGGCACCCTTTTTATTGCACTCAGAGGTAAGAGCTTCTGATAAAGGCAAGCTTCATAGTCGTAGAATCAACCCTGCCACAGCAAAATACTTCACCCAGCCTCTGACGCAGATATCCTGATCAATAATGTTTTTCATTCAAGTCACTTGTGTAGTTGAGGGGTGGGGAATTTGATGGAGGTAATTGAAGAGGTATCGATATACCTGGAGATTCGGAGGACCAGTGGTTGTCACCAAGTATGAAGTCGCAGGAAGCTAAGACACGGCAAGAGTAATTAGGAGAAACATGGGAAAATTCATTGAAGAGTCTCAAACCTTGGGGGAGGACTACAATTGTCCAGTGAGAGATAACAAAGCGCAAATCACATGTGACCAACAAATGCGTCCCTTCTCGGGTTTTTTTTGACAAGAGTTCAGTCAAGATGATTTCGTGATTCGTGTTCAATTTCCAATACTCTGAAATAATTACAAGCCTACATGTGAAGATGTTGAAAAGGACAACAACAACAACTTGGTGATGAAAACACATGATAAGATGTCCTTGGACTCGGAGGAAGTCCATTCATCAGCATAGATCAAAAAAACTTCTTCAAGATAAAAGTCCATTGAGCTTCAAGATGATCAAAATCTAAGGAATGGTAGGTAAGAGCATAAACTGATCGAAAAATGCCGCTGTGAAATCCATATACAAATCAAGTTAGACAATCAAAGTTCAGAATAAGTAAAACTGGGTTGTGAGAACTCACCGATTCCTGCATGATCATCAATCCCGGTGATCAAAGAGACGTGTTGATCAGGTCTGACTACCAGCACGCATCCGATTTTCGAATCAATTCCATACTTTTCATAAGCGTGACCATGTCCCTGATGATAGCTTTCATCATCCGTGAAACTAGAAACAGACCAAGTGAGTCATGAAGGCTTAGAAAATGCAGAATGACATTTACGCACATTTTCTGGTATGATCGAAAGCCGTACTTCCCTTTTAAAGGCCTTAAGACATCGTGGAAGTCATCTGGCTCAATCAATACTCTAGAAGAAGCCAATATAGTGATACAATCTATGATCCAATCTGATTCTTCACCACATGGTGTATACTTCTTGATAGGACTTTCTTGACTTTCTCCCAAGAATCGAGCCAACCGATCTAAACGTTCTTTACATCCCAAGTCTTTAGCGATATCACCTCCGAAAATCAATAGCTTCCACTTTCCATCTGCAGGAATAAGATCCGAGAGATGATAAGGCTTGGCATCTGCTAGGCAAACAACTTGTTGACTAGCAAGACGGGGCCCAACAACCACACTTTTTGCCAATTCCTGTTTGTTATGAATTTTCGAATTCGGATCCGATTTCTTAACCACCAGCTCACTTGAAGGATAGTCAATAAAGATTCCTGTTCCAAATTCATTCCCTTTCCTCATGGTTTCTCGAAACTCCGGGAGTGAGATACCAGATGAATCAGCTAAAGCTGGTCTACCTGAAAAGAGGCCTGAAAGCTGAGAGTTTCTCGATCGAATCACATGAGTATTTATCGAACTTTTGGAGCAAAATAATGAAATTGAAAGGAAATTGAAGATCACCTTGCGGTCAACCTCAATCAATTCAGCTCCGAGTGGCGCTCTTTCGGATTCATATGTCTTCAATATATCAGGGTGAGCTTTTCCTTGTAACACATGAGCTAACTTCCAAGTCAAATTGAAAGTATCTGACATCGACATGCTATATATTTTCCAATGTCATCAAGAATATCGGTTTGACTGAGTGATTCAAAGGATCAAACTTACTTCATGCCTTGAGCTAGCTTGGGGGAGTGAGTATGGCAAGCATCACCTCCAAGAAAAATTCTATCCGCCCACGAATATTTATTGACGAGACGTTGGCCAACTTCATAGCAGGTGTACTGAAAGAAAAGAAGAAGTCTGATGAGAAATAGGATGGAAATTAACTTCACCCTGAAGAAATCACAGACCCATTCGACCTTTGGGATATTGATAGTATATGGCGCCAAGATGGTATTTGCCATCTTCAGGAGTTTTTCGGGAGTGATGTCGCTCCGATTTGGTCGTTGGCCCTTGGGTGGTTGCGGAAGCTGTACGTATAACCGGACGAGATGGTTCTCTCGAGGGATCATCAACATCGAACCACTTGATGCGGAGTGAAGGCAACAAAGTAGTCTGATATCTGGACTGTTACATTTGAAGTAAGTATTACAAGAGAAAAGATTATTAATCCGATGGGATTTCAAGATAAAAATTTAGAAGCTCCATGAACTTACAAATCTGTTGCAGGTATTCCATCCATAACCCCCCAAAAGTAATTAGAACTTTCGCCTTCAAGCCTGTAGCCAACCGCGCTTCGTGTCCAGCTTCTAGCACCATCTGTTCCGATAACATATCTACAGCGCACCTCCTCTAATACCTCCTTCTCCGGTAGACCCTTTGGAGCAGCATCTAGCTCATCTTTCTCAAAAACATTAGAGCGGAACAGTCCGTCCGTCGCCAGTGGAGAGAATTGTGCGGGTTTAGCCTCCGTTTCAGTAAGATGACGAAGTTGAACCACAATTCGATCATCCGGTGAATCAGACAAAGCTGAAGCTGTTGGTGAAGGTAATTCGAGAGAGCTTGGGCATACAGCTCGCTCCACAGAGATGGAAGGCTTGTAAGTTTGAGGTTTTCCAGTTTTACCCAATCTACTAGACCAAGACGCAATCTTTCCCATTAGGATTCGCTCTATTCGACCTTGATGAATTCCACGTTGAACGTATCTTGAGAGCCCAGGAACAGTCTAGAAAGTGATACGTTTTCTTCTTCAGTATATGGTAGTCCAATGTAAGTTGATCAAAAAAGTATAGAGTTTTTTCACCAACCGCCGGGATTCTACATTTCCGCGTCAAAGTCCGGCTGGTATCATCCGGTTCCCAAAAGCTAATTTCCCCTAACTCGTTTGATTCCTCCATTATTTGAGTCCCCATTTCCAAGGCATGCAAGATCTGATAGCAACAACAATTTAGACAAAATGATAAAACAAAAAATTGTGATAAGATAGATTCATATATATCAGATGAACTGTGATCCATCTTACCTCAATAGACCGCGAATTCAAAGCGTCCGCTTGACCTGTGAAGATCTATTAAAGGTGATGATTTGAGCAGGTTCAGTTGTCAGTATGGAAAGATGTCGAGTATATGATGAGCGCGAGAGAGACCTGGGTCATCCTCTTGTCGACGATTCTGATGTTGTGAACTCCATAGCGTGCCAGACACGCCGCAGCCATCAAACCGGCTGGTCCCTGGAAAGTGTTGAATGCATTTTGATAGGTTTCCAAGATGTATAGGGTCAGTCCAACATGTGTTGGCTAGATGATAGCATGACAAGAAAAGTCAAAAAATGGACTAAACTGCACCGATTATAAGCACATCTAGATCTGAGGTCTTTTGATTGACGGAAGGGTTTGTAGAGGCGATGTTGGATGTCAATGAAATAGGAGATGACATGGCTGACTCGCGTAGAACCAGATGGGAGCTCGTTCACCTGAGAGATATTTGAGATGCTCCGGTGTCAAAGAAAAAGACTATGGGTCGATGAAGCGGAAGGAATTACAACGGTTAGACACAAAGTAAGAGCAGACATATATCGAGATTCTCGATGTAGAGCTAACTGAGGCAACCACAGCTGAAACTACTGATTCACCGCAACTAACATCGATTTGTTTACTGATCAAATTCAAGCATTCAAAACTTTAGACCACTCAAGAATCACTTGCAGAAGAATGTCTCGTTTAAGTGCAAGGCAAATTTCTTCCGGAGTATTTTCATATGCTTTGGTTTCGAAAGTCAAAAGATCTGTGCGGGGTGCTTTATGCTAACCAAAGTCCAAGGAATATTTATATCCAATCCAAACTTACGATGCTCATCAAAGAAAGGGGCATGTCGGACAAACAAACAGGACCGTTCCATACCCGACGCCATTCGTATGTGCGTCGACTCAAGTCTCATTAAGAGAGACTTGAAACTGGTTGTTCAGTCCAGCGACACATTCAACAAGAAGTGGACATTGGTCAAAGGTGGTATGGCCGCAGCTTGTGTCAACGCTTGCAGTGAACGCAACAATTGTTTGTCATTGGTTCAGATGGGTTTTTGGGCGGCGCTACCAAGTCGACTAACTGGCTTTATCACGGGTGACTGCGAGCCTTGTAGACTGAACGTAGACGATGAGGGTGTTTATCGGCGAAGGACGACATGTGTATGAATGATGCACTGTGATTGTAGAGCGATAAGATGGGTGGGTGCTATGAAGTGAGGTATGGAATAAGACCAATCATGATTCATCTGCGGTTCTGATGAGGTCTCATAAAGCTGATTGTTTAAAAATGAAGACTTCAATTTCTGGAGACGAGCTTGATGCTGAGTATTGCCGGACCTCGGCACGAGTTACTACCGGACGTCAGCTTTCGATACGTGTAAGCTATCCGGAGTCCAGATATTTTGTACGTATCGAAAAAAGTCAGAGCCGAGGAGCTGTAAACGCTTCTCGCACGCTGACTATCACCATGTTCGAGGTTTTAACTTCTTCCTTCTCTGTCACTATCGCACTTCTTGCCTTTAGCACAATAGCTATGGTCCAATGGCTTCGTAAAGACTTTGATGCTCATGCCAAAGTAAGACTACCATGAATCTACATATAGTTCAGATCCTACAGTTCTGACATTCTACGGTTCTGCCGGCCCGTACCCACAGCACTGCTACATCGGCGGGGGTTCTCAAGGATTAGGGCTTTCTTTGGCATGTCTGTTGGCTCGCAAAGGTTCTCATGTTACCATCGTATCTCGTAGTCAAAAGAAACTGGACGAAGCTCTTGCAGTGATCGAAGTGAGTGAGCACCCTGTTCATTCAAGCTTCGTCTTACTCATCTCAACTGCCTCTCACATTTGTCCCGATCCTCAAGACGAATCGGCAACACCCCAACCAGGTCTTTCAGGCACTCTCCTTCGATCTCACTTCTCCTGAGGCTTCCGAAGCAGCTTTGGATGCCGCTGCACGTCCCTTTGAGGGCCGGGTTCCCGATGTGATATTCGCTTGCGCTGGTGGTGCAGTCGGTGGCTACTTTATTAAACTTTCACCTGAAGACTTGAAAGCGAGCGTCGATATGAACTACTGGACCGCTGCCTGGACTGCCCGTGTAAGTCCGAGCTGGCTAGTGAGCCGATTAGGAAGAAACTGACAGCACTGTTTCTCCCTCGACAATTTAAGGCAGCCGCAACACGAATGGCTAAACAAGGAGTAGAAGGCCGGATTGTCTTCACCTCCTCGGTACTTGGCTTGATGGGTCTGCCGGGTTACTCAGCGTATGCCCCTATGAAGCATGCGCTCCGTGGTCTAGCTGAATGCCTCAGATCAGAGTTGCAACTCTATCGAATCCGAGTGCATTGTTACTTTCCTGCGACGATGTACTCACCTGGCTTTGAGATCGAACAGCAAACCAAACCCGAGCTTACCAAGATTCTCGAAGGACCCGACGAGGGACTGACAACAGACGAGTGTGCAAAACGATTGGTACACGGTTCGTACCTTTTCTTGTTTGTTCGGCTCTATCTTCCTGAAAATCGGCATCTTATGTGATTCGGATGATTCTTCTTCTTGGTGAAAAGGCCTAGAGAAAGGACATTGTTTCATTACATCAGATCCGATCGGTCATCTGTTTCGCTGTACCATGAGGGGTGCTGCTCCGATCTCGAACTACATCCTTGATCCAATCTTTGCTTTTGCAGGCACGGTTCGTCCAATTTCTCTTCTCGTGAATTCTGATATTCTGGCGCTTGAGGCAAACATAGCCTAAAGTGGAACAATGTTTGGAAAATGATACTTTTGTTTGGGTATGGTAGATTGCACTGCCTATTTGGAGGAAAATCACCGATCGTCAGGTCAAACAGCATGTTAATCAACATCGAAAGGAAGTGGTCGATAAATTATGAGAGTTATCAGCCATGTCCATCTGAAGTTGGTACAAGGTGTCAACATAGGAGGATAGGTGCTGGGAAAGGGTTGAACGCAGCACAAGGACAAGGTAAGGCAAACTCATCTAGAAAGAGCAACAACCAGTTCAGCATTCAAATCCCCCGAGCAATCAAGCCAGCGCGCATTTTTTTTTCATTCTCAGTTGTTCAGACTCCACCCCTTTGTTCCCTCTCAGAAAGACTAATCTTGAAATCACAAAACAATTGAGTCATCCTCATTATTCAAAAGAATTTACATTATACCGTTTACAATTACGGTGTATAGAGCTATCAATCATATCAGTCTCGGTTATATTTTTTTCACCTTCAGTACTGTTCATTAGCAAAGTTTATCTTTCTTAGCCTCTTTTGTTCGTTAAATCATTTTTTCTTTTCTCGCCCGTCATTCCACATTGTCAGAGAAGTATCTATAGGGGTACAAAGGAAACACGTCCACTAAACAGGTAAGACAAGGGGAGAGCCCCATGGGGCTGCTCAGAGCCGAAATATGGCCACCCACATGTACTGCGGTTTTGTCAATGTTTCGCAACTTTTTCTCTCTCGCTTCTTTTATCGCGCGAGGGCGGGAAAAATATAGGCGGCCATGACCACCTAGAGAGAGTAACCCTCTACATTATCTTGTTGATCTTTGCTAATTGAAGTGCTCCATGCCGACTCTGAGAGGAGCAAACAGGCAAAACAAATAAACTGACTCTGATTCAGCAGCAATGACCTAAATCGGTAAAATCAGCTAAGTGTACCAGGGTCAGGTCTTCAGATGAAAGTTTAAATAACGTCATGGCCGTAGTCTTTCGCTAGTTGATTTCAGCTACTTCCTAACTTGACGGAGCTCGATTGTTAACTTTTCCCAATTATCTGTTGATAATGTTGAATTTTTCACACTTATTTCTTGATAAGAGGGTACCTTGTATGAGGAAGCTCCTGCTCACTTGCTTTTGTTTTGTGGTATATTGACTTTATATTTTGATTTCTGCGTGAATGCACATTTGTGAGCTGATCACATACGGTCAGGTCAGGTCAAGGAGACGGCTCAGCTCATGTTGCAAGGCGTGGTTGATATTTGTGAACAGATGGACTGTATTACCCCTTCCATTGTCACTTCCACAGCATCATCACTATTTGATGCTATGTGGCTCACTTTTCCTGTGTTTCTTTACAGCAATGGACCAAGCCCTTTTGACAAAATGTGGCTTTAGCTAGAGAAGACTGGTGATGGTGCAAGGACTGGGATAATGGAGGGGTACACCAATAGTGGGTCTAAGTGCTTTTAGAATTGGCCCTTCTCTAGACATTATGAGTGTGTAGCCTTCTTTTGGGACATCATGATTTTGATAGGTGTTGCAAGATAAAGATACTTTACATATCAAAAAAATTCAAACCAATTACTGATCAAAATCAAATACATCTTCAAACCAAATGAACTGAAAATAACAAATTACTTTTTTAACCTCAACCCCACCTCAAAAGTTATTGTAATTTTGATCTATAGAATTACATTCAAAATAAACAAATTGCTGGATCATAATACATTCGCTTGATCAATTCAATCATCATTACCTCTAACCAAACTTCCAATCCTACCGACTTCATTAAACCTATCATCAGATTTCTTCCAAGAAATAGCTCTATACCAATCTTTCCAAGGTTCAAATCCGATTCCATACCTAACTTTCAAAACTTTACATCCAATCCAATATCCCATCAAATCTTCTAAAAAAGAAACTCCAATCACCAAAAGATCTAAAAACCCATTCCCAAGACATTCAGGTTGATATCCTTTCAAATCAATGGGTAAATAATTTGGAGGTTTAAGCCATGAAGTTCTACCTTTGCTTTCGATTAATGAATTAGGTAAAAATGATAATGACCATTTAAGTTTTAAAAGTTTGAGCGATGAAATATATTTCGAAAAGATACTTGGTGTAGACTTTCTTTGATTTGAAAATGGTAATTGGGGTCCAAAACTAGATGAAAAGAAACGTGAAAAAAGTTCAGAAGATGAAACTTTCCAACGTCCTTCTGTTTGACCTCCTACAAGTAATGCAAGTGATGGTGAAGGATACGTTAACAAGTCTACAAAAAACCTTGGACTTGAGTAATTGATTACAAGGTGTTCAGCTGGTAAGGTACTTGAAGATGGATGAATTGTGGTTTCAGCTTCGAGTGAGTCGATTGGTCGAAGGGTAATAGAGATTGGAGTCGATACCACTGGAATATCATAATCATAGTCATCTTCATCTTCATTCAATTCATGACCAGATTGACGTTCAGATTTTTGCTGGTATTCAACAGACCGATCACTTTCATTTGCCAATTCTTCCACTCGAACCTTTAAATATTTAATCACTCTTCTCCTTGCCAAATTTGATAACCAATCAGGACGTTGCCATCCTACACCTCCTACTTTTCCTCCCTTTTCAACTGGATTAGGTCCATTAGGTGTCGAATCAGAATAAGGTTCTGGTCGAGGATACACATCCAAACGAGGTTTTCCATAATGTAAGAAATGTGATTGATAAAGGATCCGAAGACTGGTAAGTAAAAGGGTGAAAGGGTATGAGAGTAAGGCGGAAATTAAATTTGACGTGGTGAGTGGTCGGGATGAGCCAGCTAAAGAAGCAAAGAGCTTCTTTTCACCAGCGTTGGTGAAGAGTGTGATTTTGATCTTGAGACTTGGTTCACTTAAATCAAGACTGAATGGATCGGAGAGACAGACTTGATAAGTCCCAGAACGGTCATTAAAAGGCGATACATGAAAGGCACGTGGAATATCCCATTGATGTTGGTATCTGTAGGTCAAATGACAAAATGAGTGAGAGACTCGTTCAACTAAAAACAGCTCGGGGAGCTATGAGAGAGAGAAGTGATGACAAACCCAGATTGTGGCTTATTGGCCTCATCAACTCCTACTTGGAGTACGTAAAGATGACGCTCTGAGAATGTATTATGAACTTCTAGAACCACAATTGATAGAGCTGGATGAGTAGGTTTTCCATCGAGCTGAGATTTAACTTGATCGATGGGTGAATAACAAAAGTAAATGCTCAAAGGGTTCATAGCTTCATAGCCAAGATAACTAGGCATGGTGATTACATAAACTGATCCAATAGTGTTCTCCACATCAATCTGATGATGATCACGTAGTTCATTGAGTAATGATGATTTGATGGATTGAGGTGAAAGTTTAGCTTCTTGTTTAGGATCTGATTGAGGTGTTAATTCATAAAGATAATCTTTAGGATGAATTGAAGTAATGGGTAAAAAAGAAAGAAATCGACTTGATAGTTTTGAAGTGGATTTGATAAATTTGAATAATTTAAAAGGCAAGTTTAATTGATGTGATTCAAGTTGATCTAAATCTAAACCGAATTGAAGTAAAGTATAATTAAATTGATGTTGAGATGAATGAGGTAAGAAACGAGCATGATGAGTTTGATTGAAAAATAAGTGTGATCGATTTGAATGAGTTGGTTTTGGTTGATGTTCTAGATCGTATATGAGGATCGAGAGATATAAAAGTAAAGGTGGTAAGATAATATCTAAGAAATGAATCGAACTTGCATCGAATGGAAAGATTGGAATCACTTTTAATTCATCCATCTTCTTTCGATCGGTCCTTTTTCAATTTTCTGGTGTTTGTGAATTTCTTTCTTAGTCTTTCATCTCGAGTTTGGTTGATCGATCGTGAGGGAATATTGTAAGTTGAGTTTATGTATAGTGTGTAGTCGAATCGAAATCAAATTAGCCAAAGGTTGAAGGTTGAACTTGAGAGTGTTGATCGTGATTTTAGCGAAAAGTTCAGGAACCGGCCATTGGACCCCGTACCGAGACCGCTCTGAGGACCGGATCTGCGGTATTTTGGCCTTCTCAATGTGCTCTCGGGCCGGCCAAAAGGGTCCAAACAAAAGGATTTGAGGGATTGGTGGTGACAAAAGTCGATCTGAGAGGCTCAGCACAATGGCAAAGGGACCCAAACAGGGAAGGGAAAGAGTTTTAATTGCCACAATGTCAAATATAATGCACCTAGAAGCACCAATCTCATTGTTGCTCTGCCACAGGAGAGATTTTTACTTTTTTCTGGCCGGGCCCCTTCAGTAACACCTCTCTTCAAAATCAATATCACCAAGACCATGATGTGTGCTATGGTTGGCAACAGCAAGAACCACTTAATCCGGTATTTTTCAAAAATTGTTCCACAAGTTGCACAAATCATTTACAAAACCAATCAAGATAATGTTGAGGTTGTCTTGTTCAGGGCTATCCAAAATTTTATTTCAGTGGAACACATTTCAAAAGTCTTGTGTTTTTAACTTTTATCAATGTCAAGAATTTGACCAATACTACTTGAGCAACAGGGGTATTACACCCTCCCTCATTGTTTAAGTAAGCGGCACAGTCATATGGTGAACTCAGCAGATCAATAAGTGAATGGATTTCTGACAGAATTTTATCCCAACCCAGAATAATTTGCCAGCATTTAGGGGATACAAAGTAGAAAGCCGGGCACGTGCCCGGGCATGTGCCCACAAGTCCAGATCCCAATTTGACAGCCAAAATACGGGATGTGGACTTCCGGGCACATGCCCGGCTACGTGTCCACAAGTCCAGATCCCAATTTTACAGCCAGAATTTGGGATCTGGACTTGTGGGCACATGCCTGGGCACGTGCCCGGCTTTCTACTTTGTATCCCCTAATTGCCATCCGGTGACACCAAGTCCAATAGAAGGAGAGCCTTCTATGCTTGATCAACATATGGAAATTGAAACCAATTGTTACCACTCCACCAACACCTGAAGCGCTCCGCTTTCAGGCGGTTTTTTTGTGGCGGGACGCTATACGCTACATAGGGGATCCGCCATTGCTCCGCTACATAATGCAATCCGCTACACTGATGGCACAGCGCGGCGACTCTCGGACCCGCTCTCGCACCGCTCTGTAGTTTTCGAAGTCAACAGAGCGGGCCGAGGCGACATTTTTTTCATTTTTTTTAATATTCACACAGAAATCAATATGTACATATAATGGATGAAAATTTAAATAAACAAAAGTTTTAAAGAGTGACTTGAAAATAAAAGGTGATGAGATAGAAACATAAAACTCAAAAATGGTAATAAGGAGTGACTTGAAAAATTAAAAATTGAAGAAAAGATAACACTTTAACAGAGGAAAAAAGTAAGGAAAAAGGAAAACAAAATAAAAGTTTGAAAGAGTGACTCGAAAAGCTAAAAAAGCTAAATAGAGAGATAGGAAAAATATCTTCAACAAGTTTCATTTACGAGTGTGATTTGTGAAAGAAGCAAGATAAGCAAGGGATTCTGAGAATCCATCTTTGGTTGTAGTTAGACCTGATCTTAACCATTCACGAACACCCACAGCCCTAGAAATTGTTTTAGGTTTTAAAGAACCGCGGGCAGGAATAGAAATATCGGCATCTGAAGAAAAGGTACGTTCCTGAGCGCATGTGGTAGCTGAGATACTAAAGTAGTCGCGGGCAATTGATTCGAGAACTGGGTAATGACAGGCATTGTCCTATTGTACACAAAGAAGATGATACATAAGGAGTTAATGATAATCATTTTAAAGTCTTGAGTGAGATACAAGACTTACCCTCCACCATGACAGCTCAGATTGACCAGGAAGAATTGGGTGGTTTCCTTGAAGATATAAGTCAAGTTTGGCAGATCGAATTGATTCAGAGGTTTGAAAGGAAGCGGACGAGGTGAAAACGTCAAATTGGTCATATGAGTTACCAGAAGAAGGATTGGGAGTGGGACTAGGGGTTGAGACTGGGGTAGCAGGCCATGTGTCAAGCTTTTTGTTGAATACATCTTCAATGCATGTCTTGGCTCTTGAAGCTTCTTCTGGGTAGTGTAGATCAAAAAACTTGAGCCGGTATCGAGGGTTGAGGACGGTTACCAAGGCAATCACCTCAGCACGAACAGCTTCAGTACGATATTTCTCAAGCTGAGAAATCATGACTTCGATCATGCTTCCAAGGCTTGGAAAGGTGGTGGAGGCACTTATGTCGGTGAGCTGATTATAGACCCTAAGATATTCTGCCAAAAGAACAGCACCCGTTGGTGTATTTCCTTCCATATGCTTCGTCAAGCAACGAAAAACCTGAAATGTGATTGAGAGAAGTCAGACTTGAGATGAATAAGGTGTAGGATAAATGAAATTGGCTCACTTCTAAGACTTTGCATAGCGTATCAACGGCCTCCCATTCTTCCATTGTCATCATGATGCCTTGGTAGTATCTGGTCTTACGATCAGCAATGAGAATTGAATCTACAACCTATGTACAAATTGCAATGCCAGTTAGTCAACCAGTGATAACCAAAACAGATCAGAAAAACAACTTACGTCTCATGCGGCCACTAAGCGAGAATACATCTCAAGATCAATATTCCAACAAACACCCCAACCGGCGATTGGACCCGGTCCAGAGTAGTCCATCTGAGCAGCTCGACCCTTGAATTCACCTCGCCTAGCATTGCTGCAAGTGAGCAAAGCATTAAATTCCTTTAACTACAAAATGAGTGAGGTTAGTAAAGTGAGGAAATGTAGGAAAGAAACAAAAGAAGTATGAGAAACTTGCCTTTAATGCACCTTTCACCACAACGCATCCATCGGTTGGAAAATCTTCACAATCGTATGTCGGATCATCGTCCATGTCATCATCTTGATCTTGCATGTGTCTCGTATCACAGTGAGGCTTGTGATTGAGTACATCATCCTCATCATCAGAGTCGTCCTGATCAATTGAGGATTCATTCATATCATTGTTGAGGACAATACTCGGGATTGGTACAGAAGTATTAGGAGGGGTAGTCGGCTTGATGTGACCAGCTGATAATCCCAAAAGCTTGAGACCCTTTTTAACCACCAGTCCCAGATTGTGGGCGTAGCATCTTACATGATTTTGCGACGAATCCTAATCAACGTGATTATCAGCTTCAGAGAACATTACCTCCATTTCACGTGCCATCGTGTTGTTTGAGGCACCTGAATCCGTTGTTTGACCTAGCATGTAATCAATACAAATGACCAAATTAGTTAAAGTCCCAATAAAAAGTAAGAAAAGAAGATTGAAAAAAGATAGCTACTAATCTTTTTGTGAAGTTCATGTGCTATCAAAAAGCGCCCAACTGGTTGTGCTAGGAGGTAGCCAAACTTATTCCAAGCAACTAGCTTTAAAGTAAGGTGAATTGTTCGGAAATTCCAATTGTTGTCAATGAAATTTGCTGATACACCGATGAAGGCATAGCGGTTTCCCTTGGTTGTCCAAACGTCGTGCATCAAGGAGAATTGGCTGGAGTTATTCTGTTAAAAGATATCTCAAATGTCAGTTTAGGTGATCTACAAATAGATAGCTGAGTTGACATACCTTTACTAAAGAGACAGCTGCCGCACTTAAGCTAATATACAATTCCTTGGCCACGCCAGCAGCCCAAGTAGGACTTCTTAACTCTGCTCGTCAATTGGCAAGCTTGAATGCTGCACGGAGGGGGGTATCATAAAACCTATTGAAAGGAAGCCCATGTAACATGATCCACATGACTAGGACCGTGTTACATAGCTCAACACTGAAGGTGGTTCGAGATAAGAAGGAATCAAGGGTTGGTTGGCCATTAGCTTTGTTCAACAAAGCCTCCATCGCCGCATGCTCTTGAGCCCAAGTGGGAGGAAGGGTGCAGCCAGCTTGAATGGCACGGGATCTTTGAGGGCAGGCAGATCGGCCCTTGGCACCGTCACGGTGAGCGTATAAGTTGTAATGACTACGTATACCACGGGTGAATGTTGCCTTGCACCAACGACACTTGAAAGAGCGAGGATCATCGCCTGTCTGCAGAAGGACAGAAAGGTATCAAAAAAAGGAAATACTTCATGATTGAAAAGTAAGAGAAATCACTTACTTCACCCTTGATGTGAGCCGGCGGGTAGCAATACTCCAAAAGCTTAGACACCCGTCCTAACTGAGCACGGCAAACACCTTCAGTCTCGACAACTTCGATATCGGAATCCTGATTGACGTTGATACAGTCAGGAATCCCAGTCTAGAGGCATCAAACAAAAAAAAAGAAAACAATTTGAGTGAAATCAGAAAGAAAGACATCGAGTTGAGATGATGAAGAAAGACAAGACTTACAGAAACAGGCACAGCCTTCTTAGTTTTCTTGACCGGCCTTCGAGCTACGCTTGCTGAGGCACCTGAGCCCCTTGGACGACCTTTAGCCTTGGAACGTTGGCTAGCAGGCTTTGATTTAGCACCTCGGTTGGTCTTCTTTTTCAGTATCATTGCCAAGAAGTCTTCGGCTCTGGTGATCTCCACAACAGATTCTTCAGAGTCGGAGTCACTATCAGCCTGAGTTGGATTGTAAGGACTACCAGTAAGGTCAAGATGGGGTAGATCACTATCGCTGGAGGCAGGACAATGAACAGAAAGACGGGAGTCGGGTGATTGGATCACATATCCAGGCTTAGGAGCAGAAGGGCTGCGTGGGCGTAGAGTAGGACCGGTTTTCACAGGAGGAGCAAGACTGAGAGTTGAGACATTTGGTGCCATTTTATAAGAACGGTAGAAACTATTGTTACTAATAAAAGATGAAAAACAGGGATATTAGTTTTTTTTTATAAATTGTTTAATGATATTAACAATGAAGATTATGAATATCGGATGACAATAATTTGTGCACAAGGAGAAAGAAAGAGATAACGAAGACCTCAAACTCACCTTATGTCAAATTGGTTATGTTCCTAGCCCGCGACGGTACAGAGAATTCCATTCTCGAGAGGAGAGAGAGTGTGTGACAGGTCAGGCAGGGGTATCACAGGAAGTGGAAGAGATGTCATCTCTAATCCACTCGAATTTGGAAGACGAGGAGAGAGGAAAAATTCCTTCCTCTCTCTATGCTTCCAATTCCCTCCCCCTGCTGATCCTGGAACTCTTGAAAAAGATAAATTTCTTCTCTTCACTCAAAATTTCTAAAAAAAAACAATCTCCAATTGGAAATCGATACCTTAAATTCCCACATATATATATTCATTTAGTAGCTTGTGAATGTGGAGAACACTTAAACCAAAGAAGTCATTAAATTCATATCAATCAAAGAAAATGCTAGAAACAGCCAAAATGGAAGAGGAGAAGAAGGCGGCTCATGCATTGAAACTGAAGGAACAAGCAGCAGAAAGAGAACGTCGAGCAGGCTCTAGAGACCCGGGAGGAAGCACCCCATCAATCATCACACCGGCAGTTACATCGACCAATCCAGCAACATGCTTGGGAAAAACGACGATGGGACCCACTCAAGGAGAGGTTCCACCTCCAGAACCACCAACGGGTAGCTTAGTGCTGACTTTAGAAGATGATGAAGTTGATGAGATGGCGGGAGGCGAAGGAACTAGGATGGAGGAAAGAGATGGATTGGTGGGTAGTGAGGAGGAAGAGAAGAACTACACGGCATCGGATGACGCCAAGAAGAAAAAGAAGTCCAAATCAGCAAAGAAAAAAGGGAAGGCAAAGAATAAAGCCAAGAAAGATGTAGAAGATGACTCGGATGACTCACCGATACAGGAAGAATTCCCGAAGTCGAACAGATCACTCTACGCAGGGTTGATTGAAACTGGTCACAGTAAGTTATGATTTAAGATTCATGGCATACCCTTTCCATCCATGACATGACATAGTTCGGAGATCGAATAGGTGGTTGTAGCTTGAACAGCTCCCACACCCCCTATGAAGGTTGTAGCGTTCCACAAGCTCCCTGACCTAAGTGTGCACAGACATGCGAGTGGCACTGAGACTGTCGGTTGCAGCCTTTAAAGGCTCCCAAGAGTGAAGAACTTGAATGGTTCGAGCAGCTGTAAGATAAGGCGATCAGAGTTGGTGGTCGTAGCCGCGGGAGCTCCCACATTTGAACTAGCTCTTGATCGATCAGATAACCGAAGCCCAACAAGCAGAGATTTGAGGAAAGATGTAGACAGATAAACGTCCGATAGTCGACAGATTGGCCGAAGCGATAAACGCTTCTGACATGGATATGATCCAGATTTTGCGGAAAGAGCTAGTCCAAGAAGCAGAGTTGAAAGCGCTGAAGCTAGAGGTGAAGAAGTTAGAAAAACGAAGAAGCGAAGAGAAGGGAGGGGGGAAAGGAGGAAAGAAAACTCACAAGAAATCCAAGAGCAAAAAGAAAAAGCGGCCGAGATCTGCTTCAAGCTCCGATAGTGACTCATCGTCCTCGAGTAGCTCCTCTCACTCCTCTTCGTCTGATTCAGACTCCTCAGATTCTTCCTTGTCAGACTCCGATTCCTGTGACTCATCAGACTTGTCCTCGGAATCTGGAAGCAACACCAAGCTAGTGTCAAAAGCAAACATTGAATTTGAAAAGATGGCAGCCATAAAGGGCCTCGACTTACAAGACCTCCCAAGCCACTGGGACAAATGCTTCAAGAAATTGAAACGCTATGTGCCACTATCAGTCTTTAAACGCTCATACATCGACTCATACAACTCGGCAGTAGACAATGGATCTAAGAAGAGGAAGAAAGGTTTCAATCTGAGCACTTCGGAGAGGGACCTGGAGCGCCAAATGACTTACGGAGAGTTTATACTAGCATGTGATCTCAAAGCCAGGTATGCTGAAGAACTTTATGGACATGACGCTTATGCTGTATACATCAGGAAACACAAGATCGTAGTAAATAACCTGATGGTCCAACATAAATGTTGGATGATAGGCCTTAGATATCATTTAGCGATCCGAGCCCTCATCTTTAGGAAACGCTCGAGAATCATGTATAGAAAGAAGAAGAATGGGAAGAGGGGAAAGAAGGTGGAGAAGGTTGTCTTACCAGAAGGAGTCCAAGAGGAGGTGGTTCAAAGGGCGAGGTGGGATGCAGAAACGGCTGGTGACCTAAAGTTTGAGGAAAACCCCTACGCACCGGGGCAGCCGAAGTTTGGCTACAACTTTTATACCGGACAACCCGCACCAAAAGCCCACCCGGCTGCTACCACCTCGAAGGCTACTCTTGATCAGAGCCCAGGGGAGAGCGAGAGTTTAGGAGGTGACAGATTCTTTAAGAAGAAGAGGGGAGGAAATCGTGGAAGAGGGAACAGAGGGGGAAATTCATATCAGCCTAAACCATTTTATCAACAGCGAGGTCAATTTCCAAACCAGTACCCTGGGATCCAAAACGGAAACTCGCATATGCCGCATTTCCAATCATACGCCCCACAATATGCACACAATGGCGCATACGCTAGCCATGGGGGACAGGACTGGGTAGCGCATGGACACCACCATGCGAATAAGCAAGGGGGAGGACAAAAAGGCAAAGCTAAAGCTAATGAGAATGCTTGGTGAGCACTGACTTGCGAATCAGAAACAGAATAGTGATTAACTCACGATCAACCTCTGTTATTTCTCATTCCCTCTCCACTTCCCTTCATTACACTCCCGATGCGTTGGTTTGATTGTGGACATCTGCTCTACTATTGGGCGATTGGTGTTTCTGCGGTGGTTAAATTGGATCCGTTTGTTTGTCTTTACACGCGTAATTTGGTTTGGTACGAAGATGTCCCTCAATTCCTGTTTCCTCTATGTTTGAAATGGAACAAAATTTGTATCTAGAGCTAGATGTTGGCGTTAGAGAGATTTCTGAGTGAATTGAATTGTTTGAACACAACATAGCCAGCGTCCCAAGAGGTCCCAGTCAATGGGTCCTAGAGAGAGATCAATTGGTCCTGAGGGAGAATGACGCACCAAATGAGACATGGCCAGAAGAGGAAGAGGCAGCGGGTACAACCCAACTCCAGGGTAGCTCGGTAACAGAAGTAGACGTCTGCAGAGAAGGGGAAGATGACGATACGGGTTCATTAACGTCAACTAGCTCCATTTCGACGCGGGGGACTAAACCAATCTTACCTTTGAAAAACAGGAAGCTATTCAAGGTGAAGGAAGTGACGAAATGGCCAGCCCCGGTTCATTGTGACATGGTCCTAGAGAAATGGAAGGATCTAATGGCTGAAGCTGGTCTGGACGAGGACGTACCGTATATCTTAGATGGTTTTGTAGAAGGCTTTTGCCTTGGTATTCCGCAACACTAATTAGGCAAAGAACGCTGGTACACCCCAGACAATCACATCTCAGCTCTGGAAGTAAAAGATGAGATAGAGAAAACGTTAGCTAGGGAAAGTAGGGAAGGCCGGATTGCAGGACCATATACACACGAGGAATTATATAAGAAGTTTGGCTTCTTTCAATCGAATCCGATGGGAAGTGCCACCAACGGTGATGGTTCAGTACGGTTGATCAATGACTTATCCTTCCCGAAAAATGATCCGAATACGCCTTCAGTCAACTCGTTCGTGGATAAAATGAATTATGAGACTTCATGGGATGACTTCAAAAGGGTGGCGAAATTCTTCAGAGATCATCCAGGGGAATGGGAACTGGCGGTCTTCGACTGGGCGAAAGCTTATAGGCAGCTCCCTGTACACCACAGCCAAAGAAAGTATTTAATCATCAAGGGTTTTAAGGGACAATTGTGGGTAGATCTAGCAGTCGGTTTTGGGGGGGTGGCAAGCTGTGGCGTCTTTGGAGCCCCGGCAGAGACCTGGAAACAGATAATGATTCATCAGCTCAGATTCCCAACTATCTTCAGGTGGGTAGACGATAATCTCCTCCTCAGGAGACCCGGGGAAGGAGCCTCATTGGTAGATGTAACTAACCTTAGTAACTCCATGGGAGTGAAGACTAACCCACGCAAGAATCACGAGTTTGCTGAAGAGCAACGGTTCCTAGGGTTCATATGGAATGGAAAGAATCATACGGTTAGGTTACCTCAAGAAAAACTAGAGGAACGACTAGATCAAGTGAAAGATTTCCTCAGAGAAAATCGGAAATGGACTTACTCACAGGTAGAAAAGCTGGTCGGGCGCCTATGTCACACGGTACACATCGTACCCCACATGGCAGCTTATCTCAACTCCATGTATAGGTGGAAAAAGTCGTGGATGAACATCCAGGCGTTGAGAACCACACCAGAAGACGTGGTGGAAGACTTGGTCGAATGGGAAATTTGCCTGAGCAGATTTGACTCCTGCCCAATCGTACCGAACCCAACCCCAGAGGAAGTGGGGTGGGTAGGAGATTCAGCTTCCTCGTTCGGGTGAGTGCATGAGGTTAAAAGAGAAGCTGGTAATTGACGGAAATCTGATTAATTTTATCTCCATTTGTCAATCAATTTCATTGAATGTTACTCACTTGTGGAGGATCGTTGCACTCAGGATAGGAGTGTTGGTGGGAGACTATTGGGCATGTTTTAAATTTGTATCTGAGTGGGATGGTTCAGGTCGACGCGAAACAAAACGTAGGATCGCGTGGGCAGAGACGGTGGCGATTCGTCTCGGCCTATTGGTCCTGGCAAAAGTAACAAACGTTAGAGGCCGAAGGTTCTGGGTGCACACTGACAATACAACCACCGAACATGCGATACGCAAAAGGAAATCTAGGGACAAAGACGTGAATGATGAGTGGAAACTCACCCAACGCCTCCTATCGGAACTAGGGTGCGATATCAAACAGAAACGCGTCGCATCAAAGGCGAACAAAGCCGATGCGCTTTCCAGGGGTCAGATTACAAACGATCTACTGTGGTTCAAAGAGGTAAGGGTATCAGTCCCAGAAGACCTGCAACGACTCCTTTTCCAAATCACTCCGAACCGACCTCTAGAACCAAGATGAAGAAGGACACGACAGACAAATCAGTAATTACTCGTGACAGGAAGGGGAAAGATGACTTAAAGAAGATAACTAAACCTTATGGAGCATTTAAAAAGGACACCTTTGGAGTAGATAGATCGGAGGTAGATGAAATCCAAAAGCATTTCTTGAGGGGTGCGTGGATGAACGGGACGTTGAAACATTACAATTTGGGGGTGGTCAAATTGCTTCGGTATGCAGAAGTCAGGAAAGTTGACAAAGCGCTCCTATTACCTATAACAAAAGAGGTCTTGCTGGCGTTCATAGTCTGGGGGTCGAAGAAACAGGAAGAACTCGCAGAAAACGACAAGTCAGTCAAAGCCTCAACGTTACGATCCTACGTGGCGGGCCTCAAGGCGTGGCACAAGTTCCATCGGAAAACTTACCCTCTGGACCAGGACGACACAGTCGCTCTACTACTGAAAGCGTCCGAGACAGTGGAACACAAATTGAAGGAAGCCGAGTTGTTGAGACCACCGGTTATGATTTCGGATCTTGCGGTTCTTATCGAGCACATTTGTATGACGGATGAGAGAGACTTAGCGATCCTGGCCATCGCCCTGGTAGCTTTCTGGGGTACAGCTCGACTGGGAGAGTTAGTTTTGGATGATGAATCAAAACGGTTACCCCTATGGGGAGATGTGAACTGGGCAGTGGACTACTCTTACGTTAAGATCAAGATACACGGGGCCAAGACGGCTCGTCCTGGTGAAGTCCAAACCATTTATCTACAGCGACAAAAGTCTAAGCTAGACCCAGTTAGAGTCCTTAAGCTATTGTACGATATTCGACCTCGCAGAATGATCGACCCAGTGTTCGGCTTCTCCAGTGAGAAAGACGGAAGGATGATTGTCTTCAAGAAACGCGCAGTGATTCAGAGATTGAGAACCTTCTGGAATAAGTACAGACCAGCGAACAAACAACTACTATATGGGCATTCGTTTCGTATTGGAGGGGCCTCGCTCCGTTGGAACCTGGGAGCCTCAAGAGATGAAGTGAAGACTAATGGGAGATGGGCATCAGATGCGTATAAAATCTATCTACGGAAATTCAACGAGAAAGAGATGAGAGAGACAGTTGAATGGTTGAAAGTCTTACATTTAGATGATTGATAGAGAGTTGGCGAAGGAGTCTTTGGTAGTTTGAATCCCTTCCAAGTCATGTGGAACTATTGTTTGTCGATCTCATCAAGAATCTTAAAAATTAAAGTTCAGTTCAGTACATGGAACTAGGTTTCGCCAAACTTCTGACGCCTTCATCCATGAAGGTGAGTCGGAACCGTTGAATTGTTGAGCATTTCCAAGACACGATGTGTCGGAATTCCAAGTGCCTATAGAGATAGACATTGCCGTGCCCAATTTCGGGGACACTCAGGACCGAGGTAGGGGGAGTTCGACTTCTCAAGGCTCACGTCTCGAGACCTTTGTGAGTTCAGGGGGTTGAGAAGTCTCCTTCTCAGGCCTGTTCTCGCCTCGAGGAGGGAGTTACTAAGTTAAGGGCATAACCCTTATACTAGAACTCTCCCTCCCCAAGACTACCCCCACACCACGATCAGGAGTAGGTTGGTCACAAGGAAAGTGACAGGACTCTAAAGTGGTAGAACAAGCCTTTTGAAGTAGACAGTAGTCAAACGTAAAAGGTGTTATTACTAGGCGAAGACATTCCCCCCCTCATAGAGTCCCTTCTGACTCAACTTTGCTCCCCTCGAATGATGAATGGATTGGTTATGTTCCTAGCCCGCGACGGTACAGAGAATTCCATTCTCGAGAGGAGAGAGAGAGTGTGACAGGTCAGGCAGGGGTATCACAGGAAGTGGAAGAGATGTCATCTCTAATCCACTCGAATTTGGAAGACGAGGAGAGAGGAAAAATTCCTTCCTCTCTCTATGCTTCCAATTCCCTCCCCCTGCTGATCCTGGAACTCTCGAAAAAGATAAATTTCTTCTCTTCACTCAAAATTTCTAAAAACCCACCCACCGCCCGGGGGGTTGAGAAGTCTCCTTCTCAGGCCTGTTCTCGCCTCGAGGAGGGAGTTACTAAGTTAAGGGCATAACCCTTATACTAGAACTCTCCCTCCCCGAGACTACCCCCACACCACGATCAGGAGTAGGTTGGTCACAAGGAAAGTGACAGGACTCTAAAGTGGTAGAACGAGCCTTTTGAAGTAGACAGTAGTCAAACGTAAAAGGTGTTATTACTAGGCAAAGACATTCCCCCCCTCATAGAGTCCCTTCTGACTCAACTTTGCTCTCCTCGAATGATGAATGGATTGCAGAGGGTGTTCGACACCCTCTTTCTGCTTCAAGATCATGTGGCCAGTGAGATAAGATGGGGTCCCTGAATAAGACCAAATCAATCACTTCAGTTTGGTCTTTCTCATATCCATATATGATAGCTATGAAGATTCAAGTGAGAAAGACGTACGAGTTAGTCACTTACACGTGATATCGAGATAAGATGGGTGGGTCAAGGGTTTGTTTTGATTGGATGCTGGGAAAAACAAGCCCAAAGACGTATCAAAGGCAAGACTTTGGTACGTATTCTGACAGCTCATGCAGGCAAGAGAGGAGGATCTTGAATCTTTGTGTCGAGAATCTGGATGTGTGGATGAATCTTTGTGTTGACAATCTGGATACTTCGTCGTGTTGTGGTGTCGATCTCACCTTGGCACTTCACGCTACATGCCTCTCTGAGAGCTGGCTGCAGGGCGTCAAATGAACCCGCTCCGCCACATTTGCAACCCGCTTTTTACAGGGTCTCAGAGGTGTGGCAGTCTTGGGGCGCTTTGACCCGCTACATCAGATTTCATGTAGCAACCGCCGCAAGACCCGCTCCACAACCGCTTTTTGCAGCGGAACGCTTCAGGTGTTGACTCCACCTTTGCTTTTTATTAGACAGTGTAACAAAATTGAATGGGAACAACCATGCACGTTGCATGAGCAAGACCAACTGGCCTGCGTGCACACCAATTGGTGATGCCCAATATTAGATGACTACATAGGGTTATTGGGCAATGATTCATTACTGGTGCAACATGGTGTGGTCAGTGGAAGTGATCTTGGGTGTCTGTCCCTACAATGAGTGTGAAAATGAAGGATTTGCCCAGCTCATCTCTCGTGATGTGGACCCCATTGCTGGAGGTGTTACACCGGGGGTCCTTTTGAGAAGAAAGAAAAAGAGTTGAACTTGTGATTTTGAACACGATGAAGAATTTTCCCATCCAACATCACAGCATTCCCTTCTCAATACCAGCAAAAACCACACCTTTTGGAGGAGGTCTTCCCTCCCTGAAAGAAACTGACAAAGTTGAATTTACCACCTCCAACATGGTTGAGTTGAGATTGTCTATAGACTATGCCTTGGGAGGTACCAAACATACAAAGGAGGAAAAATAAAATACTGAACCCACCTTCAACAACATTACAGCCACCAGCAATGTGGAGTTTGATGAAGAGTCTCCAGACCACTCCATTCCCTTCTCTTTCCTTGAGAGGCTTTCCTAGGAAGTTCTCAAACAGGAGGACATATTACAATGTCAGGGAGTATCATGGTGAGCTGGAGCAGCAATAAACAAGACAGTGTAGCTACCTCAACAACTGAGGCAGAATACAGGTCCACATATGAAGATGGGCAAGATATAGAGTGGGGTACAACCTTACTGACAGGAATGAAATTAGGAAAAAGAAGCTCACCAGTAATCAATTAGACAATCAAGTAGCCATAGCACTATTGAAGAATGGAAAATCCAAAAAGAGAAAAAAGCATGTTGATGTCAGGTATCATTGGCTACAGGAAGTAGTAAAATCAAGGCAGATTGTGGTAACTTACGTGTCAATTAATGAATTGATAGCTGACATTATAAAAAGGCTTTTTCACCTTGTAAGCATCTCAAATCTTGCACTGCTTTAGGCTTGCACAATGTTAGCAAGATGGGGGGAATTGCATCTTTTGGTTGCAGTACATGTAGTTGGATAATGGCATAATAGATGTGTTGTCTTTGTAACATGAGAACCGGTTGTATGGAGTTTGTATGATTCATATATAGAGATGAGCTGTCCCCTATTTTGCTCTCTTTCTCATTGAACTCAACAATAGTTTCTTACAACCTTTATCTTTCTTAGATTGTGGTTTATCTTAACCGTCTATCAGTCCATCATTAGACTGAGACGTGATCTGTGTTCTGTTCAGGTGTTAGTTGTTTTGTTTAATTTTATTTAGTTCTTTTTTGCAATCAAACTCAAAAATTCTTTCTTACAGTCTTTATCTTTCTTAGATTGTGGTTTCTCTTGCTTATCTATCAGTCCATCATTAGACTGAAGTGTGATCTGTGTTCTATTCAAGAAGTTTTTGCACCTGAATCTTTTTTCAAAGTCAGTCATCATGCAAAAAAAAGTTTCTTCCTGCTGGCGTAAAGTTCTTGCTGTAGCTTTTGATTTAGGTGTGGCATGTTTGCAATTTTGCACAAAGTTGCTTTATGCAGGATCAATCTGTCTACAGCCATTCCTTTATTGGTTGCTTCTCTATAAAACATTTTTTACATTTTCAACAAATTCTGCATTTTTTTCTTTTGTAATTAAGTCCCAGTAGGTCTTGAACACAGCCTACAGTACTCAGATAAACTCAGATATGCTCTGGGATTGTTGTGCAAGCTGTCTTTGTGGGGTTGAAGTTCTTTTGATTGCTTGTGATCTGTTAAACTTCTTGGTAACATCACTGAAACACTTATAAGGCTAATGCTCTACAGAAATCTTAGGTGTCATTTGGGATAACATAGATAATTAATTGCTACAAGCCCTTATTGTCACACTACAACGCTCCCACAGATTATTCAAGCACTGTAGGAGGTATCCAAGAACAAGCAGCTGGTTACAAAACAAAAAATGTAAAATTTGTTGAAAATGTCAAAAAGTTTTAAAAAAAGTTGTAATTGAAGCAACCAATCAAGGAACGGCTGTAAAAGTCTCACGTGCAAATTTCAGATTTGGTGTATCAATATTTATTTTTGCGCAGGATTGACTTCTTTGGTGTAAAATTGAATAACACGGCGGGCTATAAGACACACAGAATTTCTCACATTACAATTTCTAACACTAGAAAAAAAAGTTGCAAGAGGTGTAAAAATCTAAACACGGGGGGTTCTCTAGTTCCTTGAATTCTGCACAGAGATGTTTTTACATCGAATGATTCGATGTAAATCCGTTGTTGTAAACTTCGACATCCCCATTTTTAATGAGTAGCAAATACCACCCGGTTAATCTTCTTGCTGTAATCTGAAACAGTCACATTGATAATCCCATCATTCTTGTAAGGAATACTGAACGCGTCAAATCCCTGTGAAGATTCCCCTGTAGTGTGTCAGAGAAGAGAGGAAAATTTAAATCACAAATTCCCGAGCAATCTCCACATAGTGTTCCCAGTTACCTGATACTATAGGCCCCGTGGGCACGTAGTCGCCGCTCGCAAGACGTGTAATGAAACCTGGCGGTCAGCATGATCGCAATGATTTTTCAAGTGAGATCGTTAGAGGGTATTTATAGGGGTGCCACGGAAGAATGCATCCTAGATTCTGTTCCATTGAAAAACGTACTGATTGGATCGACTATTGATCCGTTCTCGCAGAGCTTTGCGTCTTCTGCAAAAAGACTATTCCAATGGAATGGCTGCTGGTCGCGGAGGTGTGCCCTAAATCGTTCAGCAGTCTCCTTCGTTCCAGCTACGCCACACAGTACAAAATCAGAACCCTGATCATGATCAAAAGAGACGTTTTCACAAATATAACCTCACCAGCCAGTGAAGGTGACATAAAAATTAGCAATAATCCAATCGTAGTCAAGGTGATTTTCTCAAACATGTTGTGTAAGCACAGTAAGGATGATTCTCAATAGGAGCGTCAATACCAGTGTTTGGAATATACTAGTCCACAAATGATGAAGAGGAAAAACCTGTGTGAAAGAGCATGTTCTTTTACACTTGCTGCTGCACCCAACATCTATCATGGCATCTTCTTCGTCTCATATCATCTCGTGTGGTCTTCAACCTTTCAGCATTAACTCTTCTACAAACGCGGATGATCTCGGAAACCGTTGATGCGAAAACACTGCGCGAACCCTTATCATTTGGGTAAAACTCGCCCTCTCTAATTCATAATCAACCAGGCTTTACAACGTAGATAAGCAAAGTGGAGAAAACAATCTTGATTCCTGATGCTGTGGTACTGCGTCGCGAAAATAAGGGATCGTGTGCTCACTTCCGCTCAGTAGATGGATGTTTTCGGGTGCGACCTGATTATGTACATGTATCATTTATTCCTGCTCACCGGCATATTGTTGGAAGTGATCCATCCTCAGCATCTTTTTACATTTCAGATCATCCGACGGTGCCCAGCCCGACTGCGCTGTCCTAGTAATTTTTTCGGCGACTGGTGTGGCATTGCACATCCCGATACCGGTGGATAAGAATCACCTCCCTGTACGATAATTACATCATGACTGATGTGGTGCAAGAGGATCTCCGCTGTATATTGAACTTGTCGCACGCTATATACACGTTACTCAGAAATTGCAAGGCCAACAGAGGCCAACAGTGATAGAGAGTGCTATGAAGTGTTTCACATACTGAACTAGATATATATACAAAGTTCATCCCCAACATATTATTTCCTCTTGAAGAGCCTGTAAAGGACAGAGTTTGTCCTCACTACGAAGGTATCTCAAGGAGGGAACGGAGGGTCTGATGCCACGACGTGGACTTTATGATTCTAGAACCAAAGTATATATGGTTATAATTGCTAGAATCTGGCTCCAAAGGTAATAGAATACGAGATCAGTCTCGAGTTCCCTCTAAGGGATTATACAAATATAATGTGAAGTAAAGAGAAATAGTATAAAGGAAATAAATGAAATGAAATGCTAACCTGGCTCCAAAGGTAATAGAGTACGAGATCAGTCTCGAGTTCCCTAAGGAGCCAGTCTCTGAATGTGAACCATCTGGAAGTATATGAAAAACATCTAAGTCTAAGGTCTAAGGTCTAGGTAGTTATGGTATGTTTAGTTATGGTTGTGATGATGTGTACATCATTACAGAGCCGTCCCGAGAGAAGCCTACGTCACGTGCAGGTCACCTCATGTACATCCGCAAAAAATTGGCAACAGCTATTAACAAATTCAAATTTTCAGATGTTAGACTTGTTGGACTGTGATCAAGATCTTACCAGAGCTCTATTTGTTGTGACTTGTGATAAATTGAAAATGGAAACTATATGATAGAAATTGCTTTTGCACTGCATTCCTTCATTGCCAGTCTTAACCAAGGAACAATGTAAGGCATAATCCATGATCATTAAGTTTTGATGTGAGTGGTATCAGCCCATCACTCATGATCTAAATACTTAAGGGCTCATTTGGCTGCTTTTCCCAAACACATGTTATATTTGTACAAGCTTCAGTTCTTTATCATTGAGCTAGTTCCAGATTGATTGAGATCTATCATTTACTTGTCCCCTTGTCTTTCACCAATCATACATCTTTCTGACTCTCAGCATAGTTTCTAGACATGAGCAGGCCCTAAAAGTGTTGAATTCAAGATGTGGTATCATGGGATTGATGTGTTCTCAGAGCATTATAGCTTGATATCTACAATAAGTAGTGTACAAAAAAACAAATGAATCAATCCAGATTGTTGGCAACCATCATGTAGGATGGTTTTGAGAGAAGAAAGAGTTTGATTTTCCAAAATAGATCAGATTTGGGTACATTTTCAGTTGTCACCAAACAGTCAAATGACCGTAAAAGAGGTCAACAACAGACCTGTTGACCTTTTTTCTTGACTGTCTGGTAATTGTATAACCAAATTTCGAGTTTTTCACCCTTTTTTAAGGAGCAGATTGAAATTTTGTTTTTGTGTACCAATTTTTGGCTAAACCAGCTGAGCGAGCCCTAAGTCTTTTAACCCACCAAATTCATTATCTGCACCAATTACACCACAGTTCAAGGTTAAACTTAACAAAGTACACCCGCCTTGCAAGGCAGGCACAACTCATGCAATTCTTTCGAAGTTTCAATTGAAAAGTCAACTTTGAAGATCTTAATCTATTCAAAACACAGTCTCCTGAAAATTCAAGATCATTGAGTATCCCTTTTGTTTGTCCCTTCACAGCTTATTTATACTCTAAAACACCAATTGTGCACATTCATTATCAGCAACCTATCTGTAACTTACTAGGATGACATCTTACATGATCACAACTCCATTTGGCCTTGCATTCCCATATCCTGCTTTATTTATTGTTCCTGACGGACATGTTTCAAACCAATGACCAGCTCATTATCTCTGGGAGAAAGCTTTTGCTCCACCCCAGGCAGCTCCCTCTACCCCATTAAAAGGCAAAAACAATACTTTGGCTTCACCAAATCATTGGCGGACAATTCTCCAGTATTGAGTGAAAGCAAAGATGAAGAGTCAAGACCACCACCATCATGAGTGCTTCTCTCCAAGAAGAAAAGCTTTGTTAAGATTTGTGAGGTTGTGTTTCCAGAATTCATACCAAAAGCATGCAGCCACAAATCCATCTCAGTGATTGTTACCAAAGTTTTCTTGCATCATCATGTACCAAATGACCACCAGTGTACAGACAAGAAGGGCAGCTCAATATTTACCAGGTGGAGTATCACACCAAGGGGTGCCAATATGTTATAGGTCTCACATGTAACACAAGTGAAATGATTGTCACATGTCACGAGTTGATCTCTTACTATAAGCTTGTATTGCGCCACACTTGTATTGCTCTTCATCCGACAATCACAATAGAACCTTGATTACTTGGTAGAACTTACCTTCATCCCTCGAACAGAACCAGAGAGAGACCGGACCATAACACAATAAAATATTGTATCACCTTGAATTCACAAATAATTCAAGAGATTAATTGTTTAATTTGATACCAAGTAATTATTCTAGATTGGGTTCTCCCAATTTAAAAATTATTGGGAAAAAACCTTACTCATATGCCTCTTTTCTCCAACTTTTCTGATATCTACGCTAGGTAATATGGCTACACCACTGACAGGAAATTGAACAGGAGAGTGTCTACTCTAGCAGGATTTATAGCAGGAGCTTTCCACATTCCCTATAGTGACAATACTAGCCGGA